TTTATGTATTTTACCTCTTCTCACACTTCTATATAAATTCCTGGTTTGGCCAACCTGGTCTATTTAACAGCCAATGAACCTACCCTATGCATTTCCCATGCCATGTCCTCCATCTGGAAGACACCATGCTTCTGATTCTTAAAGTCTGTTATTAAATTTTACCTCTTCCCTGGTCACCCCTAGTAGATAGAAGTACTCTCACAGAATGTTAGAGTGGAAGGGAGATCGTCTACTCCAGCTGCAAAATGGGCTTTAGAGAGTCACCTCCTCCATCTATAAAATTCAAATGCTTGGGGAAACTGAGGCCACTAAAATAATTTTCTCTTTGAACACTAATTTTTTTCAACACATTTTTCTTGATTGGTTCCTATGTGCCAGGAGCCATTCTAGCCACGTGGGATTACAGTTTAATAAGAAAGACGGACTGTACTTAAATTAAACTCTGATGAGCACTACCAGAGGAGGGGAAACACAGGGTGCCACCGATGTCTGAAACATGAGTGGTTGAGGGAAGGGGTGAGGCACGAGGTTAATACACTGTGGGAAGACAGGATGGAATAAAGTCAGTTTGGGAAGATGAGGAAGGCTTCCCTGAGGAGGAAATCTTCTAAGCAGGGGCCAAAAAGTAGGAATTAACTCTGCAAAAGGTGGGTGATTTCTGCATGTAGAAGGAAAGCCCAGAGACAGGCACTTTCGTGGAACTAAAAGAAGGTCGGGGTGCTGGAATCCAAGGGGCGAGGAAGGTTGCCAGAGGTGAAGGTGGAAAGGCAGGGAGGGATAAGAGCATTGCTGGGCCTGGGAAGGTCATGTTGAAGATTTCTGGGCTTTATCCTAAGAATAGGCACTGGGTTGCATGTTCCAAGGTCAGGACCACGGCTTACCCTGGGAGGAATGGGAGAAGCAACTATGAAATTAGAAAGAACTTGAGTTTTATCTCAATTGAAACATTTTCTGTATCCTTGTCACTCTTCCCTATGTGTCCGATCTCATCCAAAGTCAATTTAAAAAAAGAAAGCATGTGAATTTATAAAAACCACCATTTTAGCTAGCCTGCTTGGCTTGGACAGGAGCCTGTGTATGTACAGCTATTCTGTGCTTTTCAAAAGTTGCTTCGTGACACTTCAATTTTAGGAAAGACCTACGTTAGTACCTGTTTTTGATAACCAAAAGAAATAAGATGATTTTTGCTTTTATGAAAAAAGGCAAAAAGTGAAAATCGCGTCCAGCACTTGGTTTGCTGTGAGCAGTTGAGAGGTAGCACGTACCCCATCAGGGAGAGAGGCACCTCCAAGTTCCTTCCCCAGGAACCACACTCAGCACCTCAGCATCAATCTGCCATGGCTTTGAACTGTGTCTGTAAGCGCTTTACCTAGATTTTTTTTTTTTTTGCGCATCTGTAAGCAAGATGTGTCCTAAGGCAATTGCTTCTTCACTTTATGCCATTTTGGCTTAGGAAAGGTTTCATAGGAACTCTCTACTTTCAGATAGCAGGGGGGAACCTGTATATGGATGTCCGTGAACCTACAGACACTTAAGGGAGTAGGGACCTGTTTTATACTTTTTATAAGCAAAACATTCCATACAAGAACAATCCAGGGAAAAGCTCCATTTCACTCTCAGCTGTGCATTGGTGCTACAGTTAAAGTTAAATGTTCATTCTCTTGCCCTTTCCCATAAGATCTTTAATAAGAGAAAATATTTTAAGAGAATACCAACAAAATTTTTCCAAGGATTGTTTTAGTCACCACTGCTTTTTTAGTATCATCTTGTCTATACTAGGTAATGACTTTCAAAATGCAATCAAATTTATTTCCTCTCAAATTACATTTATATCAAGGATAAAATTTTAAGCAGACAGGGTGACAAAGTTAAAGAACAGCTGGAATTTTGAAGCAAGTTTTGTGTTCAAGGTATTGTGTTGGACACCTTAAAATATATTATCTCATTTTATCCTAACGAAGACTCTTGAGAGGTGCATGCTATATTCTAATTCACAGACAAGGAAGATGGAGCTCAGAGAAGCAAGCATTTCCCCAAAATATATACACCTTAGACCTACACTGTCCAATATGGTAGCCTGGAGCCACATGTGGCTGTTGAGCAACTGAAATACAGCTAGTCTGAACTGAGATGTGCACTAAGTGTAAACTGAACACCAGATTTTGAAAATTTAGTATGAAAACTATTAAAGTATCTCAATTTATGAATACTGATTACACGTTGAAATGACAATATTTTAGATAGAGTAGGTTAAATAAAATACATTATTAAAATTAATTTTACCTGCTTCACACTTTTTACAAAAAATCAGCTAGTAGACATTTCAAAATTACACACATGGCCCACAACTATATTTGAATTGAAGAGTGTGACCCTAGACCAAAGGCTGGATTGCTGACTTTGCCAATAAACATCAAGGTCAAAGGCAGCATGGTATAGAAGAAAAGAAGAATACGTGGATTCATGCAGATCTTGGTTTAAATCTCCTCTCCACCAATGACTAGTTTGGGGCGAAATATCAACCCTCTCTGCACTTCACTTATGTCATCTGCATTATGGTGATATTAAATATCCCCAAACAACTGTTGTATAGAATATGTAAAGCAGTAACTGGCAGAGGGGAGGGAACAACTACGAATACCTCCCAGAGCAACTGATTAATTTAAAAACTGATTCCCAAAAAGAGAAGAAAATTCATTTATTTGAAAATCCCACTTTATTCTCTTTAAGTGGGAAAAGTTAAAGAACCAACACATTGAATGCCTGCTTTACCATAATATGTGCATGATATATACTGTATCGTAAAATACATAGTATACACGGATTCCTTCTTTCTTTCAACGTTGTTTATAATATGCTATAGGCCGGGAGGCCAGATGATGAGATTAGGGTGAAGTAAAAAATACCAGGACACAGAAGCGCCCAAGCAGTTCTTAAGGACACAATGGATGAATTCCAGTGAAAGAGTTTATGAGCTACATACACCTCAGCTGGTCTTTTCAACTTTTACATGAGGAACTGAGACGAGTGAGTAAATGACATCTGGGCAAATAGAATTTTACTCATTTTTTTTCTTCCTGGGTCACAGTGCAAACAAATAAATTGTTCCAATACACTACATTTACACTAACTCATTATTAGTAATCTCTACTAAATCATAAGAAACTACAAAATCATATGGACTACACTATCCAATGACATTTTACCATATTCTGTCCGCTAGGCTTGTGTCAAGAAGTTCGCCCTGGGCATGTGACTTTTATCAATGCACGTATTATCTGTATATGTTTAAATATAAAGGGTGGAGGAGTTGGGGCATTTACTTTATTATTTGATGTATGTATATGGCCTAAGATTGACATGTGACGATGTGTTAGATTGCCCTGTTTTGTATGTTTTTTTTTTAAGTAGTATGAAAGGGGAATTAAAGATTTGAGCCACTTGAATGTAGCCTCTTAAATATCAGATACTTAGTAAATTTAACACCAAAAGTGTTCCTATGTTAACTATAACAATTAACTTTCAAGAAAATGAGACTGAAGAAGAAGCTATCAGATTCACAGATCTCAGAACACCATGAGAGGCTATAAAAATATCCACTTTATTCTAGTTTGAAATTTAATGGAAGAAGTAACATACCAAATTTTAGGTTAGCTATTAAAGTGCATATTCAGTGAATTAAGTGGGGAGAGCTTCAGGAGAGGGCCTCCCCTTTGATCTCATACGTGGCATTAAAAATCTGCTTCTTCTAGTGAATTTTTGAGCAACCCCTGAATATATGTGACTTGGTATTTGCTCTTTCAAAGTGAGTAGACTCAAACTGACTAAAAATGAGACTACGTCTACAGTACACTTACAACTAGTTTTCAGCAAATGTCTACAAATTTAGGGTTATAGGTAGAATTGGGTAAGAAAAACAAAATTACACTAAATCAAAATTATTAGCAATTATTAACTAATAATAAGAATTAGACAAAGCAGTAACACGTAAACAGTAATTAGAAAAATTTGCTAAAACTTTGAACTGAGATATTACACTTTTGATGCTTGAAATTATAGGAAAAAATATACTCAGTCAACTTAAGAGAAAACAAATATCATAAGCCATTGATGCTACCAGCCATATTTCCAAAATGCACACTTTAGAAAAAAGAGTTCATATCAGGAAAGAGCTTATTTGCATTAACTTTAAATTAGCTAATATCTGAGTCACACCTTTGAAGAAACTTGCATTATTTCCAGGAATGCCTTTTTCCCTCCCTTTTCTTTCTTTCTTTTTTTGTTTTTGAGGGGAATAAGGCAGCTAGACTAAAAAGAAAAAAAAAGTTAAGTCGCATTCTTTAATGTGAATGGTATACTTGTGCTTCTATATACTATCTCAATCCAACTGAGCCATGTCTTCAAATAATTTGATAATCTGTCTTTAAAGTTTCATCTTAATTGGAGAGTTCATTTTTGTAAAACGCCTTGGCACCATTCAATCTTTTATGAAACGAGAAAGGTCTCTTTCCTTTGGACTTGACATTTTTAACCACGTACGTGTGAGCAATTTTTGCTGTCAAATACTGCAAAGGTAGGTTTTCTGTTTGTTGTTCAATCTGAAAATGTCTCCACTATACTTGCACAGCTGCCCTCTTCCCAGCAGAAACCTACCCGCCCCTCTCCCCCCCCCTGCAAGTTTTAAACTTTGTTTCCTTTGGGGTTCTGCACAAGCGCTACTAGTAATATCCAAGAGACAAAGAGCTGTGCTGTGGGTTCACGGGATGCCAAATTTGAGTTGTGAAACAAAGCACTCAAATTTGAGATTCAAGATGAGGAGGAAGATGCTGGTAAAAAAAAAAAAAAAAATTATCATAAAGCGTAAGATCGCAGAGCCATCTCCCTAGACATCTCCTCCTGCCCACGGCCACCCCAGAGCGCGCGGGAGGGAGTTCTGGCCCCGGGACAGGGGCTGCCGGCCGCACCGCAAAGCCCCGTGCCCGCGCCCCCGGCCCTCTCACCGCTTCACTCGGATGATCTGGTCCCGCATGGGCTTGATGTCCTGGAAGCTCTGCTGGTTGACGAGGCTGTAGACGAGGATGAAGCCCTGGCCGTTCTTGATGTACAGGTCCCGCATGGACGCGAACTGCTCGGTGCCCGCCGTGTCCAGGATCTCCAGCACCGACGGCGACGAGTCCACCTCGATCTCCTTGCGGTAGAAGTCCTCGATGGTGGGGTCGTATTTCTCGATGAAGGTGCCGGTCACGAACTGCACAGTCAGGGCGGATTTGCCGACCCCGCCCGAGCCCAGCACCACCACTTTGTACTCGCGCATCGTCCCTCCGCGGCCGCCGCCGCCGCCGCTGCCCGCGACATAGACCTACGCCCGCCGCGCTACGCGCCCGGACCCTGCGCCGGCGGCCGGCCCCGCCGCCTCCCGCGGCCGCCCCCACCTCACGGCCGCCGCGGCCCCCCGGGCGCCGGCGGAGGGAGCAGCAGCCCTGGGCATGGGCCGAGCCGGGCGGCAATGCGGCACCGCGGGCGCCGGCAGGCACTAAGGGCGAGCAGGGAGTGTGAGTCAAGGAGCCGACGGAGCCGCCCGAACCGCGGGCCCGCAGTGCCGGCGGCCCCGCCCCTCGCGCCTCCACGCCCAGCTCCCCGCCCGCCGCCGCCGCCGCCGCTCTTCCCGGCGCCGAAGCGCGCGCCCGAGCCCGAGCCGCAGCGCTGCTGGGGGCGGGGCCCGGCGGCCCGGGGCGGAGCCCGGCGGCGCGGCCCCGCCCCTGCTCCCCCCGTCGCCTAGGCGACCGGCCGCGCGCGCGCTCCCAGGAAGCTCGGCGCGTCGCGGAAGCCTCCGCCCGCGTTTAGATAAACAGCCACCTGGGTTACCCAACAACACCCCACCCCGTCTGCCCCGTTGAACCCCGGGGCCTGCGTACTGAGCATGCGCAGTTCTTCCTCCTGCGACGGGAGCCGCTTCTACTTGAGAACGCCACGGTCAGAATTTGGCGGAGACAAGATGTTGGAGGGGCCAGAGCAATCTCCGGGCTTTAACATGAGGCGAGGAGAAGAAGATACTGGCAAGGTCCAGAAGGAGGCCTTCGCATGAGGGCCTTGCTGGGCACCACCCAGTCTGTCAGCATTCCTGAGAGCTTTGGTTTTATCTTGTATAAACATAAGAAGCTTTAAGGGAGGAGCATAAATACAACGAAATGCAGCTTTGTTTTAAGCGTCAGGACACTGAGGGGGAAGTGACAGACCCCCATTCAGCCCACTGCCCGAGGCGGCGAAGGCCAGAAACCGCGGAAGCCGGGCCCTCGCTCTGTGACGTCGCCGGGGGTCCCTCCCACCTTCCCTAGCCCCGCCCTTCTTCAGTGCCTGATAAAAGTCGAGCTCTTCCCACGCCCTGTCAGCTACGGGCGCCTGGAAAACCGGGAGAGCGGATTCCCCCGCAGCAGCCAGAAGGCCCGGGAACACCTCATAGCAACAGCCAGCCGGGGCATCTAGTAGGAAGCTGGGATTCATTTCAGCCAACCAGCCCGCGCTTTTGGACCCCGTGGTATCATTCTCGACCAATAGAGAGCCGCTTCATGCCACGTGACACTGACCCATCAGCCAATGGAGGAAAACTCTAGTCGCAGGCTCAGCTATCCCATCTGCCACTGTTGGCCAGGCTGGGCGTTTGCCCCTGCGCACACTCTGCCAACCAATCATAGGTGAGCTGAAGAAAGACGGAGACTTGCGCTGAGCCAACCAGAATTCGCGGTTTTCTTGCCACCAAGGGCCGGTAGTAGGGAGAAGGGGAAGAGCTGGTGGGGTCTGGGAGGGGTCAGTGATTGAGAGGTGGGTCGCGGCACCCTATTCGGGCAAAGAAACAGGATGTGTTGCGGGCGAGAGTGATGGATTTCCCTTTTAACGTCGTCTCCGTGGCATTCTGCCTAAATGATAGACACGGAAATAGTGCTGAGGGATGTGGGCTGAAAAGTGGGGTGAACTGACAAAACAGGGACTTTAGGGTGAGAAAATGTCGGGTCCTTAGACATACAGCAGCAGTTGCATGGGTCCTCCATGCGTGCCTCCTAAAACGTTTTTAACAACTCAGTTTTGAAACTTACTGTTCTCTCTGTGGCATTAGATCTTAATTACACACTCTCTCCCACCCATAACGTCAAATTTAGGAGAAGTTATGTCCCTAAATATTCCTGGATTATATTTTGCAATAACTGGTAATTGGATTTACCTTCCATAAGCTATGTCCTTCTCGAACTAGTCTACACCCATCCATTACCATCTCACATTTCTTGGGAATAATAAGTTTCTATAGTTCTAACTAAGGTTTCATCATGGCATACCTCTTCAGCCTTCCTCTTCCGCACAAGGTCATCATGTAGAGAGAATTTTGGTCTGAGTTCATCAATAAAACAGATGTTCTTTTATCATCGTTTTTTTGGTCAATTATCAAACTACTACAAAGATGTACTCAGCTTTAGCAGTGTCCTACAGCCCTATCGCTCCATTATCTTAAAATGAATAACTTACCCTTGCATTATCTTGCTATAGTGTAACACACCAAGTTTTTGCTTAAAATAATTGCGGGCAAGTGTCCTGTCAAAATATGTGGTAAAATATGTCAATCATTATTTCTTGATTCCTTATCAAAATATGAGTGTTATATTTGAGCCACCAGAATCAACAGTGAAGGCAGATGGCAAAAGAACTAAGAATCAAGAGGAAATTTTTAGGAGAATTGAAACCAAAGAGCATCTGATACCTCATTTTAAACTAGTAATGTGAATAAGTGAATTAAAATTAAGAGCTTACATGGATTTGAAGTGAAGCTTCATATCTGAGCTTTTTTGGCAGGCATGTTTCAAGAGGATTTTGTTGGTGAATACAGTGTTGAACTAGCATTTTAGAAGCCTCATATACTGTGTAAAACTTACGTGCTTTTTGTGGTTTCTTTAGTAACAGCTACACTTCTTTCACGGAAAAGACATACTGTCTCTTTTAAGATCCAACTTTTGTATTGTAGTCATAAGAAATCCCTAGGTTTGTCAGGGGTTGAATAGAGCCAAGAAGCATCAAACTTCCTCTCTTTGTATGGATCATTACAACCTGTGTAGTACCTTGTATTACAGTGGAACTGAAAAACCATTCACTTTGCAAGAAGTAAAGGCCCAGTGACTTTTTTTTTTTTTTTAAGAAATTTGCATTGGGATTGTGGGTCCAGAATGTATCTTTAAACAACTGCTTTCATTTCTTAGGTCCCCAAAAGTTGAGAAGCTCTGGACTGGAGTGCATCTGATAGAAGTTGTCACAAAAAAATAGTGAGTCGGTGCCCAGTTACTCCACTTAGCATAATAGAGAGAGGACAGGTTTTTTAAGATATTTCTCAGTTTATTTTCCCTGACCTTTCATCAGTGCCACCTTTCTTGATAAGGAGAAGTGTAGAGACTGCAGCTCTTGGAGTAGTGTAGCTCATTTATGTTTCTCCTAATGACAGGCCTCAATTTTCATTCTCAGTGCTACCATAAAGGTAGATTTTTAATCAATAAGACTCAAAAAAAACATGTTAAGTAGGAGTGTATTTTCCTACCTATTCTGTCTTGGTAGTGACCTGATTTGAGGCTCTATGTGAAAGAGAAGAATTAGCTGCTAAAAGAAAGGATGTTGGGATGTGCAGAGAATTTTGAAGATTTGGGTGGGAATTGGGTGTGTATCTCCTGATCTCTTAATTGTGTTCATTGCTATGCTAGCATGAACTATCTATTCTGAGAGTGAGTTTAGAAATAAAATGTCTCCATTCATTTGTTTGTGGGAAAGACAAAATAAAAATGAGATAAAATAAAATTGAATTTTCCCCAAGAGCTGTAAATCTGTATGATAGTGAAAGCTTAACAGTGTACACTGACACTTAAGGGTCTCTTTAGCTTCAGAAGTACATTGCTGGGAGAAAAAAAAAAAAAGAAAAGAGAAAAACTTCATTTCTCCTCTCCCCTCTGAATCTGAGAATTATCTCACCTATGCCCATATATCCTCAACTGTCACACTTGTGTTACCATGGAAACCCAGCTCCTTTCTTTGCTTCAGTGAAAGATGTTGGAAAAGGTGGGATGAAGTGGGAAATACACTGAATTCTGGGACTTTCTGACAATAGCAAGAAGCAAGTATGCAAGGAATTTAATGTAAACAAGTTAGTAGAGGGCATTCGTAATCTGACCAGTGCTTTTCTTGGCTATAAGACCCTGATTCCTTTTGCTTCCTATAAAAGCCTACATGTCTCTGATTAACCATAAAGGGGAAGGACGAGTGAAATACATTTAGCACCTATGAAATGCTACTGGTAATTATAAAGAGAGCAGAAAACATTTTCTTGGCCTCTCAGGCTCCTAATACAGTTGAGAAACAGAAGTATATATGAAGAGTGGAAAGGAAGGGGCAAAATAAATGTGTGTCTCTTTTGAAAATGTGATATGTCTCAGTACTTTAGGAAAGAAAAAGAATTAGAATGCAGAAATTGAGTATGTAAACAAATCAATGAAAAAAACCTTTTGATAGAGAAAAGAAATTTTTCTTTTTTTAAGAAATTAATTTATTTTTGTCTGCATTGGGTCTTTGTTGCTGTGTATGGGCTTTCTCTAGTTGTGGCAAGTGGGGGCTACACTTCATTCTGGTGCGTGGGCTTCTCGTGGTGGTGGCTTCTCTTGTTGCTGAGCATGGGCTCTAGGAGCATGGGCTTCAGTAGTTGTAGCACATGGGCTCAATAGTTGTGGCTCATGGGCTCTAGAGTGCAGGCTCAGTAGTTGTGGCGCACGGGCTTAATTGCTCTGTGGCATGTGGGATCTTCCCGGACCAGGGCTTGAACCCGTGTCCCCTGCATTGGCAGGTGGATTCTTAACCACTGTGCCACTAGGGGACTCCCAAGAACAGAAATTTTTCAATAGGCAATTTTCAGCAGAAAAAAAGAAATCCATGAAGGAAAGGCTTAATGATTAAAATATAGGGGAGGAAAAAAAAAAAAGAAAAACCCTGAAGAATCTTAAGAGCTTGAAGGTCCTGAGGAAAATAGCTCTAGTGTAATTTTTTGAATATAGAAGACCAGTCACAATGTTCCTTGCGTACCCTGCAGTTTCCCTTTACTTTTGGGAAATAAAAAAAAAAAGGGATGAATCAGGATTGATCATTGATGGTAGCGCTTTCCGTTCTGTACATAGTTCAGAAGTAGGCGCATGACTCAGTTCTTGCCATTGGTCTGGGAAGAAGGCTGCTAGGCTGGGGGATTTCTGGGATTCTGACAAGAATGAGTTAATATCCCCACTTTTGACATCATTTGCTTCTTGCTTTGCTCATTGAAATATGAGTATGTGGCCACCACCTTTGGGCTGTGATGCCTTATGGGTGAGTTTGAAAACCAACAAGCTTTGGATGGTTAAGAAGGAAGGGAAGAACCTAGTCCTGGATGACAACATTGAATGTCAAACCTATGTTGGAAATGCCCACCTTTGGACCACGGTTAAGTAAACAGCTAGTGTCCTTTGTTTTATGTTTGTTAGTTTAAGTCTGCTAGGTTTTCTGCATCTTGCAGGCAAATACATCTCAACTGTTACACAGAGTGTTAGGGATTTGAGACAAAATGGTGTTTAAAAAGATCAGCAAGCATTTATGAGCACTTTCATTCTACTAATGAACTGCATGGTATTTCCAAGACATTATAGTATTTATTGAGCACTTACTATGTTTATTATTCTAGGCCCCGAGGATACAACAATAGACAGATAGCCAAAAGAGCTTGAATTCTAGGAGGAGGCACAGATGTTATAAACAGAAGAGGCAGGCATTAAGCAACTGATGACACATTTACATTATGTAGTAACAGCTACAACTAATGCTAATAAGGAGGAAAAAATCAGGGATTACAAGGGTGTGTAATAAAATAAAATATAGATAAGAGAATATTACAAAATAACTAAATAACAGAATAACTAAATAACTGAACAACACTTTTCCAAGTACACGGTAATAGTATGTATCATTTATACATGAATTCCTAGAGGTCAAGAGAAACATAATAACCTGGAGTGGGTTTGGTCAGGGAAGGCTGTCTGAGAAAATTAATATGGAGCCATGTTTTGAAGGAAGTGGCCAAAGAATAGACTAGGTGGGGCAGAAGATGAGAGAGCAAAAGAAGAAAGCAGGAATGAGGTAGAGTGAAATAAGGGGAATACAGAATCACTTGATTCCTTAATTCCCTCTAGCAACGCCATTCTAGGGACAACTATCAGGGAAAAAATCAGAAGCCAGAAGTCTCAAAGCAAGATTATAAAAAGTATGAAAATAATATAGGAAAAAACAATACAGAAGAAGAAGTAGAAGAGTACAAAGGTACATTTGAACTTAAGGCGTTATTCAAAATAATGAATATAATGTGGGTGTCATGAAAAAATTGTCATAAGGGGTAATTATGGACTTGAGGACATCATGAAAGAGGGGTTCACATTTTCACAAATAGAAGCAGGAAGAAAAATGAAGAGTAGCAAAAAATGAAAATAAACAGGAAAACAATTTTTGCTTATAGTTATTTTTTTCATGGTAGCTGCTATTGACATGCATTATGTAAAAATGAATGGGATTTGATTGAAAAGAAAAATTTCAACAGACCAGTAATATATAAAGATAGTCTTTTGGTAAATAATGTAACTTAAAATGTTTTTTGTAGAGTGCCTTTTTGTACCTTGCCATAGAAAAATCTTTTCAATAAAGTATCTGCAAGGAATAATAAATTATAGCTTAGTGATGCATTTTGGAAGTAAAGAAACACATAGATGTACCAAATGTAGTAGTATAGCAGCAATAAATAACCTGTAATAAAAATCAGAAGTTTGTCAGACATTACGTGGTTTTTGGTCAAATATAATTGTAGTGATTTTTCTAATGCTATTTTCTGTATAAATATAAGAACACTTTAAAATTAAGCTACAGTAGTCATATGAATATCTTGATATTCATAATAATGTAACTAATTTTTTACATTAGTTACATTATTATGAATAATAAAAATGTTTTGCCATTTCCAAATCATTTTCCCACATATCCAAGAAGCTTTTTGTTTTTAATAAAAAAATTTAAAAATAATTAGGAGCAACTCTACTAATATGTGATGTGAAGATGCTGAACTAGCCTTACTGCTCCTTCCTCCTAGATGGCTGGAGTAATATGGAGGGTGAAACACCCTGCAATGAAGAAGACTATGGGAAAACCCAGGAATGAGGGTTTTTTGTCGTTTTGAAATTGTCTGGGACTAGAAGAGGGTAGTGGGGATGTGGGCCTGGGGCAATAAGCAGCCAGCCACGCTGTGGGAGAATAAAGCAGGGAAAGAACTGTTGAAAATCTGCTAGTACTTCTCCTTTCCGCTGCCTTGGGAAAATCAGTGCCTGCCCCTGCATGCATTGTGACTCTGAGCTCTGGGCCATGTAGACTCCATAAGGAAATCAGGGCCGCACAGAAGCGCTGTGCTTGTGAGGAGCCATGAAACTCCTTGGCTGCCAACCAACTTAGGGCAGTTGCCCACCAACACCTCCTTCTCTAACTTCCCTGGCAGCTGACGAATCACAACCTAAGGACTGCTCCTCCTGAGGTTGCTTCTCTCTGGGGAAACAGAAGGTGAATTCTTGATCTAAGAAGTGATTGGCTGTGATTTTCTTGGGTTTAGGGTTCTTCACTGCAGAGCTCATTTACTCTCACCCCTGAGCAACTTGGCGTGTCTCAGACTGGGGTCTAGTAAAATGATGAACCATCCTTGTTTACCTAGGACTGCCCTGGGTTTAGTCTAGCATCCCAGAAAACCCCTAAGTGCCAGTGGGTCATCCTCGACCTATCCTCAACACATTTCCAGAGGAAAATGAATGCATGAGCAAATTAGATTATTTTGAGAAGTACAGTTATTTTAAAAGACACACACACACAAAAATATTAGATTATGGTTTCCATCAGAAGCATAAACATTAGAATGGACCACAATTTGTAAATTAGCCTGATAAACATACTAAAAAAAGATAAGGGATAATGTTAGCTGTATGAAAACAAACAAACAAAAAGGAACCAAATGGCCATATTACAAATGAAATATATCGTAGCTGAAATAAAGAACAAGAGAGATAGGGTAAGATAGCAGAAGAGATACAGTAAGGAGCACGTGAGAACATTGGAAGACTAGAGTTCATCTCCCAAAAGGAAGAAGGGAAGTGCAGAGAAGTAGAAAAGGGATAATGGAGAGCAGACGTAGAAGTGGCAGTATACAGATAATCCCAAAAAGAAAGAGAAGGAAAAA